GTTGTTTGTTTAAATTAATTCATTATAACTGTTATAATTTATACCGAGTTACTAATTCATATCGGTTGAAATTTAATACAGTTATTTTAACTAAAATGTGCAGAAGGATACAAGGTTCCTGTGTACCTTGTTCTTCTGCATTATATTCAAGAAAGTGATTATAAAAAGCCTTACAGTTATGAGTACATATGTGAAGATTGTTTGTTTTAATGTCAGTGTGGCACGAAGTAGTAGTTTCTGGCATCTACAAGGACCGTGTAGTGATCAGGTTTGGTGATGAGGAATTAAAAAGAATGAGGACATTGTGACATTCATACATGACAGCTAGATGGGAGAGGGTTATGCCAGAACAGGAAGAGTCGGGAGACAGGTACAAGAGAACATCACTCTATTGTAGGAATAAATTGCATCATCTGCCCTTATAATCCCACAATGAAACTGCTGACAATGTCAGTCACTCGTTACACACATAATATGACACTGCAGCAGGGACCATGGATAGATTTTATGTATGAGGATTAATATCAGCTGAAATGTGTTTCACATCAACAGCAGGTTCCATACTTAAATAAATGCAGAACAGTCAGAATTACAAATTTATTCAGAACTGCATTTCATGCAGAATTATAGAAGGAACTGGAAAGAACACAGAAAAATGAACTCTGATACAATCCTGAAACGAAATTAGAACATGTCAAGCCAGAGGAATGATTCTTAGGAAGATGTATGAAATGGAGAAAGGTTCTGTTTTTAACATTGCTTCAGAGCAAGTAGGTTTAACTGTGGGGAGGAATGGCTAAATGATGATTTGGCACCTGCTGGTATAAAATTTCATGAGTGAACTATACAGTGCACCTCAGTCTAGAAAAGACTTTGCCTGGTATCTGTATTGCTGCCTGCTTGCTACTCCTGCATTGTCTTTACAGCAACAAATAAACGTGTTCGAGGAGAAGTGAAGCCCACCCTACGTCGGCGCACATCAACACACTCGCGGTACTCTAGCACAGCTCGACGGGCCTCCGTAGCACACGACGTACACATGGCAATGCTGCCAGATCTGTCAGGTATGTATAATTGTGAACCATAATCCACAATCTTATGATATTATGTCTCAAATTACATTTATGTACATTATGAGTGTGTGGAAAATGAACAGTTTAATCTACTGCTGAATGAAAGACTGTTTCCAAAATTATGATTATCATGTCTTTATTGTGTACTTTAATCCCCTATGTTGGCATTTAAGTGGGTACCTGTGATGCCTGGAGTGGCCATTTAAATTTGCAATGACGCCACTTTCCTAGCATTTGTTCATGTTCACGCTTATTTGTATTTATTTGTCAAAACAAAGTTATGGGATCCACAACATTCTCTTGTGTTCTGTGGTGGCTACTTGAAATATGAAAGCTGTGTTAGTTGAAAATAATCACAAATCTACTTCGGTGTTGTCCAGAGTGGATGTAATCTTGCCACAAGAGTCCGACTTCATATTCTAATGCAAGGGGTTAACTTCATGGCACAAGGAAATGTTCTTTGTTATGAAATTTTATGGTTCATTACCGTGTTCTGCAAAGTTTGTTACCAGACCCTATTCTGAGCCATGTCAGTCCAACCAATTTTTCTCGGATCCGTTTTAAAATTTTCCTCTCATCTACATCTGACTTTCGTGCATGGTATTTTCCTTTGAGATTTTCATGCCAAATTTATGTTTTATTGGGTCTCCATGTTAACCCATAAGCTTTTTGATTTAATTACCGTGATAATATTAGGTTAACGTTACAAACTGTGAAGGTTCTTGCTGCATAATTCTTTCTGGTCCTTTGTTACTTATTCTCTCTTCAATCAGTGTTCTCTTCAGTACTTTGTTTTTAACATCCTAAATTTCTGATCTTATTTCAAGATTAATCTAATTTCATGCCCATGTAAAACATTGGGTAGAATTTAGGTTTATACATTTTAATCTTCAAGTATGACATTCTGAATCCTGTAGTATTGTTGTTTAGTAACACTTGATTTGTCATCATTTGCAGAAAACTTGTCAAATGAGGAACGGACATGGGAAGAGATCATGCAGATCAAAGCCATGCCCGTGAGCATGACACAGAAGAAGGAGATGAAGGCCAAGTTGCAGGTTTGTTGTTATGATCTTATTATCATATCTTTCATCATGTTAAAAAAACTTATGACTTACAAAATTAATCCATTCCAGACTGCCACAAAGCTACGTCTGCAGGGCTTCGAACAGTTCAAATGGCAACGCAGAAAAGTCTGGCAGCAGATGAAGGGTCGGTGGAAAGAAACATATATAAAACTGGAACTCTGGCACTACAGTTTGAAGAATATTGAAGGCAACTTTGGAACTGGCGTTGTAGCATACTTCCTCCTCATAAAATGGCTCATGTTTCTCAACCTGCTCATATTTCTGTTTGTATTGTTGTTCATCATTGTTCCAACATTAGTTTTGGTGCCACCAGAATCACCTGAAAATACTACACTTGTTGAGGAGTGCTCAAAAAACTATTTCAATTCATCAGTAGATTCTAATTTCCTTGACTGGCTGCAGGGTACCGGGAACATGGAAAGAACAGTCATGTTCTATGGCTACTATACATACATGTCGGTAAATTCAGATGGAGGTACACACTTCTACTACAACTTGCCTCTTGCATATATTGCAGTTGCAGTAGTTTACCTCCTTGGTAGTTTGGCAGCAATGGTGAAGTCTGTAGCACGAGGCTTCAGGCAACGCCTTGTAGAAGGGGAGGGACAGTTCTACCACTACTGTAACTTGGTGTTTGGAGGTTGGGACTACTGCATACACAATGAGAAGTCTGCCACCATGAAACATAAAGCACTATACAATGAAATGAAAGCTAGTCTGGAGGCTGAGAAATTGGAAGAAGAGCGGCAGAATCGATCCCGGGACGAGATGATTAAACTGGTGATCATGCGCTGCATCATCAACCTGATTGTTTTGGTGGTGCTGTCTGGGGCGCTCACCCTGATCTACTACACATTTTATTTCTCCCAGGAAAAGCTGAACGAAGACCTCCAGAATCCAGACACAGAACTAGAACATTTGTACAGGTTCATTCTGGAATTCCTACCTTCCATCACTATAGTGGGTCTGAACCTGCTGGTGCCAAATTTGTTTGCATACCTGGCGTCATTTGAACGGTACAGCCCGCTGTTCATAGTGCAGATCACACTGCTACGGACAGTTCTGCTGCGTCTTGCCTCTCTCATCATGTTGATGTTCTCACTAAAAGACATCATCATCTGTGACGAGCCAGATGACTGCAGTTGCGAGAACCATCCAGTGTGCTGGGAGACATATGTTGGCCAGCAAGTTTACAAGCTGGTCATCTTGGACTTTGTCACTCACATTCTCATCACATTCACATTCAATTGGCCTCGGATGCTTATCGCTAAGTATTCGAAAAGCAAAGTTGCAAAGTTCATTGGCGAGCAGGAATTTGATCTGCCAAAACATGTTCTGGACGTGGTATATAGCCAGACTCTGTGCTGGCTTGGCAGCTTCTATTCCCCCATCCTGCCACTTGTAGCAGTGCTGGAGTGTTGCCTTCTTTTTCATATAAAGAAGTTTGCCTGCCTGGTGAATAGCAAGCCTTCATCTACTGTATACCGTGCATCTCGCTCCAACTCCCTTTTCATGGTGGTGCTGCTCATCTCATTCATTGTTGCAGTGCTGCCATTGGCATTTGCCATTGCCGAAATTGCCCCTTCCAAGTCCTGCGGACCTTTCCGAGGACATCTGACTGCATGGTCTGTGGTGGTAGACTCATTTGACGAACTGCCATTGTGGATCAAATCAATTTTGTTCTTCTTTGGGACAGCTGGCTTTGCAGTACCAGCATTTATTGTACTAGTCCTTTGCTTATACTACTACTATGCCCTTTCGGCAGCCAATAAACAGATGATGATGGTTCTGAAGAATCAGTTGGTGCTGGAGGGTCATGACAAACAGTTAAAAATCAGTGCATTCATCAAACAGCAACAGGAGCACCAGAAAGCTATGCGGCACATTGAAATGACCAACCATGACCTTTCCAATGCCACTTAAAATTGATCTGTTACGTGGATATTTCGGTGTAGGACTGGTGAGGGCTATGGAAGCAGCAAGAAAATGAAAACTAATATTCAGCCTGATTATTAAGATAAATGGTAGGGCAGAAGAAATTTAAATGCAAGGCACAAGAAAAACTGTAGTTTTGCACCATTATCACTTTAGTTACTAGTGAGAGAAAACTCTAGATAATAAAACACTTGCCCATCATAATGAAGAAACAGGCCATAGTCTGTCACTCTGAAATTATCTGTCACTTTATTTGAAGGCTTACACACATTTTTGAAAAATATTTATTAAAAGTTCACCTATCAAAACATATTTTAGACACCACTATGCATTTTATGAATTTCTTTGTTACCTTGATTATTTTAGACTGGTTTCCAAACTGTAAAAGAATTTCTTGGAGCTATTCACGCTACCTGCGTGTTTGTCCGTCCCTTACCCACAACCATCAACTCTCCGGCTAAACTGTATGTGACGGTTATACCATTTGAGGTCACAAAGTACAATATTTTTAAATTCACTTTTTCCAGTGCAGAGCTATACCTCCTCTCACCCCAAACGCCTACATGGCGTATAGTGGGACAAACTTTACTTTACTAGTAACACTAGTGCCATTCAAGGTAAGATACCATAAATATATTTGATAAGAGGTTTGACAGAAAACACACAGCTGTTGTTAAAATAGAAAATAACAATATAGTGGGTACTCAAAAATATTTTTGATTTGATGACAACAGGTGAATCATTAGAGCTAAGCCTGTGAGGTTTGGGATGAAACGTGTATGTGTGTGTCAGAGAAACATTTTCACAGCAAGTAGATACCAGCCATTTTAAGTCATGTCTCCCACAATCTACTTGTTGAAACACTGTAAAATATGTTGTGGAAATTATGTTTAGAGTCAGTGTCCAAATACCAGAGTATGAGGCTTGCTACATGTAATGTGGGTGGAAACAAATGGGCCACATCCCATTAGACTTTTCTGTCAGTCATAGGGTTCCCACTGTCTGCAACATCTGCTTCTCAGCTATAATTTTTTTCATTTCAAATTTCCGCATAACTATCCTTTATTGAAAAACTGTATATAACTTTATAATTCCATGGCCTTCACTGTGGATTTAAAATATGAACTTGAAGATTTAATGATAGAATAAAGATAACACTAATGCAAATGAAGAAACGTTACTTACTGCACTGTAAACAGACTTGACACTATAGATGCAGCACTGGTCATTTCCCACTGATCTGTTCATATTCTTTAAATAGTTTGCATTTCTTCCTGCATTTAAAGTTAACATACACCGATAATAGATTTTTCTGTTCTCCTAGAAACTGAAGTTAAATGCATAGAAGTATCAAATGTTAATATAAAACATGACCATACCGAAACACTACAAAACCTTTCATTCTGCAAGCAGAGCAAAAGTAGTGGCATCTGGAAATTTATATCACTTTAGCTAGCTACAACACTGAAACATTAAATTGAATTTAATAATTTCAGAAGCAACAGCACCCATTTGTTTCCCACATGTAGCAAATTAGTGAAGTCTCAACTGGTGTGACTATGTGATACAGGGTAGGCATCATGACAATACCAGTGTGATACTTTATGATCTGTCTTTTAATTTGTCTGTGTGAAGACAAACATGGTGCTTATAGTGACTGGTTAGAATTCATAAGGCTTACAGCAGAAAAAGAAAAATATGATGTTTTGCCAATGAATGAAACTTTATGGTTTGAAATGTAAGCCACGTAATAATGTAACTTAACAAGCATTGGGATGAACAGGACTTCAGTGCCAATGGGACCACAACAGGGCTATAAGAGGATGTAAATGACAAAGAATATCTTCTTACTTTTGCAAAAAATGAAACCAGAAGAAACAATCATTACATGTCAGCAGAGACCATTTAGTCAAGTTGTTGCATTGGTTAAATATTACTGAATGTAGTTAGTACTTTCTTTTTCAGTGTAACATTCCAAGGTACCCCTGTTTTCCAGTGCCACAATTTTATATTTATTTGGACATATCTCCATTATTGTAGGTGTCAATGAGCCAGACCGTAGCTGCTATATAAAGAAATCCAACAGAATACTGTAGAAATCACAGTAATGTCGATCATTTTTACTAAATTTTATATAAATTTAAAAGTTTTGATATTATCCTTAGCATAATTTTGATATACAGATATCGGTGTAGTCACTGCAGCATCATGAATATTTGAAGCCAAAGAATGAAAGAAGCTTGTGAAATAATTGGCTGTGAAATACTGTGCTTATTGTTAGTGGAATTGTATACATGTTGTAGTAAAGACGATGTATGTACTAGTGTAGAGTCGTGCAACACCAGTGTTGTCTCCTTGGTAGCACAGCCATCAACAGAGCCCTCATGTTTTCTCGGCTTTATGCCTCACAAAACAGGCAATTATTATTCATGTCTGACGGAGTCACATGACATTTACCCTTGTGTCTACTTCGCTGCTGGAGATGTATCTATACATTTTGTGCTGTTAGTTGTGAAAATGTTTTGGTATCTTTCTTGTGTTGAATGCTCCTGTATAATGATACTTAGAATAGTGAACTAACTCTTGTGGTGTGCTGTGCTACCAGTCAAGCCATTGTAATCTTTACAGAAAATAGAAATAGTAATGTAATCTAAAGCACTCTTTAGAGTTCTGCCACCTTCTTTAATGTAGCAACTTTTATCTATCACTTTCTCCGCAGATGAATGCTGAGAACAGGTTCAGAATGGCCTAGACGAGTTTAGACAGGGTTCTATGTTCATGTTGGCCTTGATTTACAATTCAGAGTTATACCAAAGAGAAGTATCCAGTAACAAGAATTGCTGACAATGGTCATGTTCATCATTCAGTTGATGACCTGACCGCCTTTTCTCTTTTGAGATTCGAACCGTGTAAGGACTTGCTTTGATACACTTACACAGAACATTTTTCTTCTTGTTACATATGTCCATTTTTGCAATGGTGCAAATGTGTCTGATAAATCAGTGGCATCTGATGTGGAAAAAGGTACATATTAGTGATTCAGAATGAGGTTCTATAGATTCGGACAAAGTGAAAATTTTGTGCATGATTGTGTGCAAATTAACTCGTTACTGAAGAACAATGAAAATGAACAGATTGAGAGTGGTAACAGTGATAAGAGATCTCAAATAGGAAAGGCGTGACAAACTGTAGGGGACAAGGAATCTTTTATTGGTGAATTTGGGCTACAGGATGCAGAAAAGGACATACAAAATTTTGATAATCATTTAGCAGAGGTCAAAACAGTTTGGAAATATTTTTTCAGTAATTTGTGGATAATACAGTTATTTATAACACCCATTATACAGAATATTTATAAAATCAAAGGGGGTGTACATTCAAACCCAATATTTGTAGTGTTCTTGGAAACCAACGATAGTAAATGAAATGTATGAAGGTATTTATGCTATGAGGATTTCTGACCTCTATTTAAACTGCACCAACCTGTATTATTATGGTAATAAGAATTACATCGTATTCTGCAGTTATTATAGACATTGACGATGAACTTTAAGTAAACTGTAGAAATTACAGTAATTTCAGTTGAAGCATGCCTGTTCTGTGAATTAAACTTTGTGATATAGACATGGAATTTAAATCCATGTACTATTAAGCTGGTGGCTACTATTTGACCTCACCACCATTAATATCTCAATGTTAGTTATAAATTTATGATAGGAAAAATCACAGAGTCTAGTATAACCAGTGCAGTGGTAAGTATGTGATATTCTTAATATTGTTACTTTCTTTGATGGAACCATAAAGCCACTCAGTGCCATAATCCTATGGTATCTACATGTGGTTATGCATAACTAGTATTTTCCTGGAATCTGCAAAGGACCTAGGTATGTGGTAGGTTTCCAAAACTTCAGGAAATGTTCTCATCACTGTTCTCACCCCAACCCCTCATGTGTAGACTTTATAAAAGTATTAACAGCTTACAGAAAATCTGCATGAGCAAATGCAGTCTGAAGGTAGGGACTGCAGCTCGGGCAGTTGCGCGGCTGTGAAACATGGGCTGTTTCTCTGGGGGAAGAACACGTAGGTGTTTGAAGACAAATCCTCAGGAAAATGTTTCAAACTTAGATGGATAAAGTCAGTGGGGAAATGGTGGTTATTTCATAAGAAGGAAGTTAATGATCGCCTGTACTACTGTTGGTTTTGAAATCAAAATTATAATGGGGCAAACATTTAATTCAGATGTGGGAAATATCTTGGAAATCCAAGCCTCAGATTGGATGACAGTATGAAAGTGTGTCTTCAGAAAACATTGTGAATATGGCTGATGGATTTAACTTCCTTAGGATTGTGTCCAGTTTGAATGTAGTGGTGATTAACCTTTGGATAGTGTTCCCTTTTAATCAGTATGAGCATTTCATGCAAGCAAGTCCTGTGATGCACCCATGACAACAAGAAATGTATTCTGTAGTCAGATGAGAACAACGTTCCATTGTTATTGCACATCACTTCCTCTATAGCTGCTTGTTATCACATCTTGTAAATACACAGCTAAAAATGTTATATAATGGATGGCAGTGGAAATGATCACCTCAGAGCTAAAAGCACTAGGAAAGGTATTTGAGATATATTGTTACTAGGTAAACTAAAGTGGTTAGAGATTAGGGCTAGTAGCCTTAAAATAAAAACAATATTCTGAGATGAGTTTGGAGTGTTGGATTCAGTGATGCATGTATGATGATCATAGTCTGAGTTTATCTGTTATCCTGGATTTGCAAAGTACCAGGAAAGGTGATGTTGACATCAATAAATGACAATATGAGGCAGAATCAGGGAAGGAAGTTATGTGGCCACTTGAAATTGGTTGTGGAAAGGATGCATGAGATATCAGACAGTACTTCTGCATGTGACTCAAATCAGATGCAATGCACAATATAATCTCATATTTCATCCACTACATGGTAACATTTCACTGCAGTTTGGAGTTAAAATCTCCCTCACGAGTATTCACAATCTAATTTACTATCTTCAAAACATATTAATATTATATCCAAAACAGACTTATGTTGGAAGTAAAAATCTTAAAGGTAAATTCCAGTATAATAAATCCCTGAAGTTAACACCAGACCAGAGTTACCACCATTTATGGTAAGTTCAATATCAGCTATTCAACTGGCATCTGTTGTTGAATGAAGCTGAAAAAAAATATATAATACAATACTGATGTAACAGCATACCTTTGAGACATGGCTATGCAATCTAAATGTATGTAATGTAAACAGTTGATAATTACCACTTCAGAAACATCAATCCAATCCAAAGCTGAAAGAAGAGCATCATTTAGAGATGGAGGCTTATCCCAATTCCAATATGTAAATGATTTGAAGGTGTGTGTCACGTGAATACTCCTCTCTGCTCCTTCGGTCATTGGCTTAACAGTTTCTTGTGCAACAATGCCTCTATAGCCATTTGGCAAAGGAACAATTTTTCCCATCAAAGGGTACCCTCGGAAAGATGAGCAGAGCACTGAAACACAAGTCGGAATTATAAGTTGATCTACCAGCACGGGACCCAAGCTACCCTATGAATTACGGCACGTCACAACCCAACTTGCAGTTCATATTTTCTACCATAAGACCTGAAAATGAAGGCCTTTTCACACCGCAGCAGTTACCAGCATGCCTGTACAATGGTACAATCTGCACAAGATATCACATACTAGACTGTGAAAGAACTTTCTCCTTGACCACATACAGACAATAATTATAAATTATGCACACTGTGCATATTATTCATACCACTGCACTTCAGTAATTACATGGATCCAGTTTATAACCAATTTCTTTTGAACAGGTAGGTTTTCTGCACATACCATCGTCATTTCCGTCTTGCTTGCTGATACATGGTTTGAAGTACTTTGAAACATTGGCTTCACCATCACTATGTATTTGACATGGCATATAATGTATGGAATTATTTATTACTCCTTCCTTTCCATCCAAACTAGCATTACGATTTATATGAATTGACATTTTACAAGGAATACTGTTTCCCGCCAACAGATTTCACATTTGTAATCGAAAAGCAATCACACGTAGCCAACATTATAAAAGAAATGAGTATCTCCAACACACTACATTACGCAGTCAAAATAGCCTAGTATGTGAGATTTCAGGTTCTCACGGCGGAGAACATGAAAATAACTTTCTGGGATGTCTTCTGTGCCGTATAGTCTGGTAATAGTCCTGATGATAAAGGCAGTAAGCACATTTGAGACGTCGGTAAACAACTGGACTACAAAAACCCAGAAATCTTCATATTACATGTGTAATTTACTCTCTCATACTTTACCTAGTAAACATAACTGAGATTCTCTTTAGTCCTAAAGATGGAGAAATTATCATCCAGATTATTGCACAGAAGACAGAATGACAGCTTCTAACCACGACGAGTTTGAATAGTCTGGAAAGTTGCACCGTTCACTCTGACTGATATTGACTTTCAGAGGAACGACTATATAAAAGAATAAGGTTTTCACGGCGAACCATATGTGGATTCAGGAAACGTTCTAGTTCCCATATTTCCTCCCAATTTATACTGAACATAGAGGTTTACATGGAACATAATGTTTCCAGCTGTGTCAATCGTTTCCATTAAGGCGCTTAATATGTTATTTAATATGAAATTTGAATCTATAGCTGTAGAAAGAGGAAGACTAATTTTGAAGTTCCTTATCCCTTCACATTTTCTCTCCATGTCATTAGACTCTTTTGAGCACAGGAATACTACAGAGCGCAGTCTGGTGGCAAGGAAAGTTTACTGCAGTGAAGGTTGGTAGTATGTAAATGTTGGTAATCTGTATTCATGTTGTTTTAAGAATGTGCGATATGAAAACAATTTTAGAATAACGAAAGAAGAATGGAAGATAAAGTGCATGGGGCGTTTGTGGGTGAAAAAATTAATAAAGTGAGATGGAAACCAAAAGATCTTATTGAATCAGACATCTTTCTGACTGGAAGTTGGGATAACGAAGTAAGTTATGTCTTACCAGTTACCGAATATTATATAAACATCTGAGTAATAATTGAGTCGTAACGTATAATTTCGCCTATTCGATTGTCTTAGTTGAAAATATTGTTATTTAATATTTGGACCAAATTCAAGTGATGGTATCTGTTATAAACATGGTATGATTACCTTCTTTTGTGGCTTACAACTTTTTGGTGGTTAGATATATTTTCTCAATTTGCAGACAAATCAGCTTGTTCTGTGGCTTTATCCACCAAATGAAGATGATGCAGACATCTATCCATGTACCATTGGCACACACCCTCATGATGGTGATGTCACAGAACTAAAGGTAATCTGTTACAAGAGTTCTGTAAGACCCCATCCTGATCTTATTTATGTAACCAGTTCTTTTAATGTGTTTTCAATGCTAACTCTTATAAATGCTTGTAATATTTTGAGAATTAATGAGGAAGGTTGAATGAAGCAGGTCTGAATTTATTTAGTCAAAAAATTTTAGGCCAGGGCTGCTTTAGGGTGAGGCAGCCATCCCGGTCCCCGCACTTCAGTGAGCTCTGTGCATAGACATTACAATGTTTGAAATATTTTGTTAGCAGTATAAAATTTGTTACAATTATAATATACTTTAAAATCTAAGATTTAATCTGTTATAACTATTACATACACCATGTCAATAATGAGCACATATAACTTAATGGGCCCTTGTGTCTTGCAGTTTATTAATAGCAACACATTTGTTGTTTCATCATCGGTGGGATCAGTGAAGTTACTGAAGATCGATAACAAGGAGCCACACTTGGCCGAGTTTAAGGAGATGGTGTCATGGGATAATATTCACTACTTCAGGTATGCTAAAGAGTTATTGTATGTGACAAGGATGGGGAATTCTTGCTTTCATTGCAGCATCAGGAGGGGTGGATACATTTCAAACTCTGGGTGGTAGGTGTCATCACAATAATTTTCCAGTTGCTGGTTTAAAAAGTTGCCCTTTATTTCTTGTTTCCAATTCCTTGGTACTTTTTTCCATTTGTGAAGTTTCTGTCAATATGGCAATAACGTTTCTCACCACAGTCAGACATTTTTATTACTTATGATCCAATTTTCAGTTCTGTTTACTCCTCACCCGAGGCTGTACTTACTTCATGAGTTTGTGTTACAGCTTTGGAGGCTCCAGCCCCTGCACTGGACTGGCGTGCTTTGAGGAAGACATTGTGTCAGTGGGGGAGGATGGTCGTCTGTTACTACTTACAGCAAGACAGAAGAAACCTGTCCGAAGAATTGGTGAGCTCGCAGTCATGGGCTGTTTGTTCGTTCTTCGTATTGTCTTGTACTGACAAGTTATATAATTTTGTCTGCAGAGGGTGCTGACAGTTGCTCTCTGCGCTGTGTGTGCTTCTTGAAACACAATGAAGTGTTGACTGGGAACCTGCGTGGACAGATGAAAGTGTGGGACCTCAAGAGCTCGACTGACAAACCTGCCTCCACCTTCATGCTCTCTGGTGAACAGGTACGTATAAGAAGCAGTAGTAGTTATCATGCTGTAAATTATATTCTTGATTGATTCTTATTCTTTTACATTACTGTTATGTGAGATGAGAGGATGGTCATGAATGATAAATACATAAAAATACTGCCCCAATATTTGACTGAAGAGACTGATGAAATACACAGAAATCTTATTAGTATAACTGGTGACCCTGCCGAGATTTTAACCTGGTATATCCTAAATGCAAGTCTACAACACGGCTATCACATCACCCAACTTGGTACTGACATTCTGGTCCCTTGTTTAATTTTATGTTATGACTTAAGGCATTAGAGTTAGAGAGTGGTCTAGATTAGATTGGATCTAGTTTGGTTATTTGTTTTAATTTTATTATTGCTTTTATTTTGTTTCCTTGTATTGTTTTAGTATTTTTTCTTCTCTTTTTAGTGTTTTACATTTATATTAGCATTTATATTGGTAGCTTAATTGTTTTTGTATTTTTTGTTGTACTTTTGTGTTAGTGTTTGCCTGTCATAGGCTTTTTGCTGTTGGCAAACACTCTAATAAAGGAATTGAATTATGCCCCAGTTCCCCACTCTGATTGCTGTGGAGATCACTAGAACTTTGAATTTTGGAAATTACAGGGTATATAAATTATCTTTACAATTATGATCTGTCCTTCTGGAGTTTATTTCTCATGTGAGGCACATAATATGACAGTGGCCAGCACAGATGGCCTACAGCTTGTGGGCTCAACTATAGAAGAGCATGGTACTTCTGAAGTCTTATCTTTAGCAGGGGTGAATGCTTTAACCATTGTAAAGAAAAGTGCTAACTATACCTGACCAGGGTTTGAACTCAGGACTCTCTAAATTAGAGTCCCAAATGTTGAATATGTTGTAGATAGGAGCCAGCTGCGTGATGCACCATCCAACACAGCGCCACATGGTATTGGCAGGGGGAGAGGACGGCTCACTCACAGTGTGGGATCTGCGTCATAACACGTTCCCCGTAACGCTTCTCAGCGCCCACTCTGACACAGGTACTGCTGTTACAACAAGAGCGAAATCATTCTGTATTAAAACTCTTCCCATTTTATCTGTCGTGGGGCTTATAAAATATTTTTTTTCAATATTTAGTAATTGTGTCATTATTTATTTTGTTTTATCGTTAAAAAGGGTGCAAATTGCTGTATCTCATGAAATGCATTTCAGCTAGTATTAATCTTTTTCTCATCAGTCCTCTGTGCAGTGGATTCTCACGTATTGAACGTAAAGTTAGTTTGAAAGTCTGTTGATGACACCAAAATTTTGTTGCAACTGGCTGTTCTATGCACGCGCGTTTTCCTCATATACGATAAACTGCGTATTAATCATAATTACAAAATTTCCATAGTGCAGAAAATTGAAAATCACGTTCTCTTTTGTTGCAGTGAGCGAGCTGCAGTTCCACCCAGACCGCCCCGAACACCTGTTCACTTGCTCGACCAGTGGGGAGGTGTGGCACTGGAATACCAGTTCCATGTCACGTCATGCACGCCTTGGGACTACAGGTATACATTAAATCCTCACTAATTTGGACCTTCTGTAATTGAGCTGCCTTCTTTTTTTATAAGTTTTAAAGGGTACTAACGATCGTGTGTTACAATCAGGATTAATAAATTCTTGGACTTTGGCCATCGTCTGATTTTTAAAAGCCACTCAATGGACAGAGTCCAAAAACACCTTTTTTATGTTTGTATTTTATTTATGCAGAACAGAGATTTTTCTTAAATGAGAATTTAATTATGTAATTTCCCACTTCTTGTTGGCTTAGAATTTCGTTTTGAAAAGAAACATTTTCATTAAATGCTGTTTTTCTTTTTGTCACATATGTTGCTGGATTGTGGATAAATTTGCTTGTTTTTATGAACTACAAACCCACGCTACACCTTTGTGTATTTAGTACAAATTAGCAAGATTTTACTGTGTTTCAGTGCCCATGTGTCAGGTTCAGTTCCATGTCATGCCACAAGGCACCTCTACTTTCAGATTTTCCCAGAGACGAGAACCCGTGGTTGAATAGTGATGTGGCCAAGCATCGCCTGGAAGTGTTCACGCTGATGCCACAGCTGCACAAACCAGTCAACTCGCTCGATGTCAATATGAACAGAATAGTGTGTGGGTGTGACAATGAAGCTGTCTACGTGTTCAAGAATGTGGTGCTCTGATCTGTACTTTCATTATTGCATTGTGTTCATGCAAGTTTTGTTATTATTTATTTATTGGGCCTGCGGAAACATGCAGCAGTTGGCGTTCCCGCAGTCCCAGTACCATTAACTTGTTCACCTCCTTAAAAAATTGTTTTGTACGTTATTGAATAGAACAATAATAAAATAATACAAAATATTACCAAAGCAGACTTAAATTCAAAGTTACATAAACCAAACACAGATGGCAACTGAGGGAGTGTTTGTTCGCCTCATCACCTAGTAGAAAATTTGTCTTGGCATGTTCCAGAATTATTAAATTGCCCCAGCTTAAACTAGCTGTTCAGCCAAAAAGTAGTGTAAATTTCAATCTGACCGACCAATTACGGATTGTCAGTTGACTTTTTTGTGCGTGTGATGAATCATCTCATAAAAAAGGAATGCTTTCTAAGGTAAGGTAAGTTTTTGGATATAGTAACGCACTTCAACACCGCTCTGCAATAAGTTCACTAAATAAAATTCAACCAAAATTTCCCAATAAGCTCTTAAATATTTAACATAGACTGTGCATTGCATCATAAAAATTCACCACATTTTATCTTACACTGGCAGTCGGTGTAGATCTGTGTTGTGAACTTTAAATATGCCATTTGTGCATTTAACGAGACGTTACTATAAATAACAATCAGATTATCAGGTAGTCAGTCTCTTGACTGCATCCTGTATCCCTAAGATACACTGCCACTAACCATTTGGAAACGAATCGGCGGAAGGTGACGACGACCCTACTACTCTGTCCATCTTTCAAACGACTACTTTGCAGGGGGATCAAGGTAGTGGGGTAGTGGGGAAGATCGGTTAGAGATTTTCTCTTCCAGCTGGAAGGAACTTCTGTAATATTATATGTGTATTTGTTTTGCCTTTGGTTAATTATGTTCCATGTATTTGGGCTTTTGTATTCAGGGAGTGGCGAATGTATGTATCGTGCATATTATTGTTCTGATTTCATTCTATGGGATGTTTTTGTGATTCTCATGATTAGGTTTGAAGTTGCAAGGGAGAGGCTCATGCTTCTTGATTATCCTTAATTAGTTCCTATGTGCATGCGTTGAGCATCTCATCTGTCACTTCACCTCCACCTCTCTTTCTCCTCACCTAACTGCAATTGATAGTCATGATGCATTGGGGTGTCCTTCCCCAACGGGCCCTTCGGTAAGGGCTGTTACCTGAGTTTCATGGAAGATCAGCTTCCTTCTGTTTCTTCGATATATATCCCCAGAGCCCACTCACATGGTAGTGTATTTTGAGGACAATTTGAAGATTGCATTCGCCTCTTGGGTATGGCCCTTGTGGTGCTGGTGTGACTGTGTTGACTAATTCAGTGATGATCTTTTGATTGAATGTTTACAGTGTGTCCTTGTTTTGAGGGCCACAGTGACCAGTTTGGGAGGTGGGGTTATGTCGTGTGTACGATAATTTACCGATCATATCACCAACTTTTTCAGTCTACTTAGGAGCGTGCCCTATGTCTGTCTTACCCACACCCCCTGCCTACCTACCTTGAACCTTTTTCCCTTAAAACTCATGATTACTGTGCAGACTTCCATTCAGTAAACACCTAGACATTCTCTTTAGTTCTGTGTTCTAAATTTTGTCTTTGGCACAAGCAAATGTTCTATGACAGTGATCACCTGATGCTATGTCCACCTGGTAATTCATTGTCTTGCCTTATTCTCCTGTGTTTATTTCTTCGGAGAGTGGACAGACAGTTTTTTTTTTTTTTTTTTGGGGGGGGGGGGGGGGTT